AGACACAGAGCTCTGATCTGCTGGGCCACTGACGCCCTCAGCTGTGTCATCCGGGGCCAAACCTGAAGTCAGGAGCCAGAAACCCAACCCCGGTCTCCTGTGAGGTGTTAGGAACCCAGCTACGGGAGCATCACCACTGCCTCCCGGGGTCCGCCTTACAGGAAGCGGGAGCCGCAGCCGGGGCGGGAACCCAGGCCCTCTGACGTGGGACACAGGCGTAAGAGTCCCTAAGCCTAGCACCCACCCCACTGCCTACCGCAGATGTCCTCTTTGCCTTTCCCGTGAGCCAAGGAGGAACCGGCACCCGGAGAACCGTGCCCCATGTGCAGCGAAAGGCGGCGACGGCTTCCTTGCAGGGGACCCAGGGCCCACCCCGCTCAAAGCTCAGCCCCTCGCCTTAGCCCAGGCCCTGGTGACAGCCCCTCCAGCCTGCGACCCCATCGCCACCTCGCCTGTATCCCTTCACCCTGGTTTTAGGTTTTAGGGTCTCTACCACATCGGAGGCACTGAACCTCAGAAAGTTCATAGGAAACAGAATTCAAAGAGAAGTTCATTTTGGTACCAAAAAACTGAGAAAAGCACGGGTGAGCTGTCCGTGACGCACGTTTCCTGGGCACGTTTTGAAGACCCCCTGCGGGAGGGGTCTCCGGTTCTGCTCCCTTTTGAAAGCAGGCAGGCAAGCACGCGCTTAAAGGAACTCTCGGAGCCCCCTTTGCTCTGTTACCAGCAGCTGGCTCGGCCACCCACGACCCCTGCGCTCTCCTGAGACAGACGCCCTGAGCCCTGATGGAAACCACAGACCCCGGGGGCGCGCGGAAGAGCCCCGGGGGCACCACGGCCGCACCTTCCTCCGGACTGGCCTGTTCTTAGCGCCATCAGCAGCTTTCTCCCAAACTCCTAGCAATGGTTTCGTGCTGGGGACAAGACGAGCGATTTTAATTTTTGCTAATGTGTATTTTCCAATTTTTTAAAAAATGAGCACATATCAGGCACGTGATAGAAACACTATGAGTGATATACTTCTCTCATCTTTTTCAACCTGAAAGCCAGAGAGAGAGAAGCACACATGAGACAGAGAGAGGTCTCCGGTCCAGGAGTTCCCTCCCCGCAGGGCTGGGCCAGGCAGCAGCAGGAGCCGGGGATTCCATCCAAGTCTCCGACCTGGGTGGCAAAGATTCAGCTACTGGAGCCACCACCAGCGACCTCCCAGGGTGTGGCATTAGCAGGAAGCTGGAATTCCAGAGCTGGGGCCCCTGCACCTGTATGGGAGACCTGGAAGAAGCTCCTGGCTCCTGATCGGCTCAGCTCCAGCTTTTGTGGCCATTTGGGGAGTGAACCAGCAGATGGAAGACCTCTCTCTCTCTCTCTCTCCCTCTCTCTCTCTCTCTCTCCCTCTCTCTCTCTCTCCCTCTACCTCTCTGTAACTGCTTTTCAAATAAATCTCTCTGTAATTCTTTCAAAGGAATAAAATAAACCTTTTAAAAATATTTATTTACTGGGCCCGGCGCCATGGCTCACTTGGCTAATCCTCCACCTGCGGCGCCAGCATCCTATATGGGCGCTGGGTTCTAGTTCTGGTTGTTCCTCTTCCAGTCCAGCTCTCTGCTGTGGCCTGGGAGTGCAGTGGAGGATGGCCCAGGTGCTTGGGCCCTGCACCCCATGGGAGACCAGGAGAAGCACCTGGCTCCTGGCTTCGGACCGGCCCAGCGCCAGCCGTAGCGGCCATTGGGGAGTGAACCAATGGAAGGAAGACCTTTCTGTCTGTCTCTCTCTCTCTGTAACTCTACCTGTCAAATAAATAAATATTTTTTTTTATTTACCTACTTACTTTATTTGAAAAGCAAAGAGACAGAGATCTTCCATTCACTAGTAGCCAGTACAGATCTGGGAGAAGCCAGGAGCCCATAACTCAATCTGAGTTTCCCGAGTGGGTGGCAGGGACCCAAGCATTTGGACTATCACTGCTCTTCCCCAGGGTGTGCATCAGCAGGAAGCTGGAGTCAGAAGTAAAGACAGGGGGCTGGTGCTGGGGCACAAGGGTTTACTTTGGCGACACCAGCATCCCACATGAGCACCGCTGCTCCTCTTCTGATCCGGCTCCCTGCTAATAATGTTCTTGGGAAAGCAGCGGAGGATGGCCCAATGCGTGGGCCCCTGCACTCATGTGGGAGACCTGGAAGAAGCTCCTGGCTCCTGGCTTTGACCTGGCCCTGTCCCAGTCATTGTGGTCATTTGGGGAATGAACCAGCGGATAGAAGACCTCTCTCTCTCTCTCTTTCTCTCTCAACTCTGATTTTCAAATAGACAAATGAAGAAGGAGGAGGAAGAGGAGGAGGAGGGTGAGGTAGGGTGGGAGGGGGGAGGAGGAGGAGCCAGGATTTGAACTCTGCTACAGGATTTATAGGATGCAGGCATTCCAAGTGGCGTGTTCACTGCCGTACCAAATGCCTACCCCATGCCTTGCCAATTTTCCCAAAATATCCCTTGTAAACATGGGTTTCAAAATCTTTGCACCAAAATGAACTCCTCTTTTCCTTCCACTTCTCATGCACACCTTGAAGCCCTGTGTAGGGCCCGGTGCACACTGCGAGTGGCCTTGCGGGTTTCCACCTGCTCCTCGGGAGCTCCCACCCTCTGCGTGAGAACACTGCCCCGTGCCCCCTCTCCCCTGCTCCGGGGCCCCGTGCAGGCCCCCAGCTCAACACCCACCCTTGGGAGCAGGAAGCAGGTGGTCCCCGCTGCGCGCTGCTCTGATGCACGGTGGGTTTCAGGCAACCGAAGTTGGTTAACACGAGAGCTCCCAGCTCTGCAATCGACAGGTTTAGCATTCTTCAGCGTTTCATCTCCCTAAGCCTCGCTGGTCACAGGCTCTTATTTGTGTTCCACAGAAAACATTTTGGAGAACAGCAATAAAAACAAAGCACTTGATAGTGATGGTATGCAATCCAGTGATTGCAATCTAATTTTCAAAACAGGCATTGCTCACAATAGGAGGTGTTACCCAGTCACTAGGGTCTCCTTTCTTAAATTTCTGGAAGGATACCAAGCAGGCTACGATGACCCAAACTATTGTTAATTCACCTACTACCTTCTCTCTCGGGGACCAGCTAAATCTGCTATACCTAAAGCTTGGGGAAACAAGGATTATCAGTTTTCACACACCCGGCTGTCCCTACACACACACACACACACACACACACACACACTACAGCTTTATTCTCATGTGCTTTAAATATTTTCGCAAAACCTTGGGACTGCTGATTAGCTGATTCCCACTTTATGGGAATTTATACTATAAAACCTATTGGGAACAAATAGCTCATTGTTATTCAAACAGCCAAATGAAACTTAATTCCTATTCAGAAGAGACTGGCTTTTTATCAGAATGACACGGCACTCCTGGAGCCTATTTGCTCCTGGTCTACCTCACAAGACCAACAGGTCCGGCAGGGAGGGAACAAGGGGCCTCCCTGCGGGTGCTGCTCAGGGAGCTCGCTCTGCCTCGCCCGGAGGGGCTGGCGGGAGCAGCCCACGCTACCTGCAAACATGGTGCTTGGCAAGCTGTGATTTTAAGCAGAAGGAAACCGAAAAAAAACAGCAGAGGCGGGAAGGTCGCTCTGCTCTGCTCCCACCCCCTTCTCCCTGAGCCGGCCACAGGAAGGAGGATTCCGGGGGCACAGGAGCTCCTGGCTCCTGCCCAGCCCAGCTCCGGCTGTGGGGGCTTTTGGGGAATGAACCAGTAGATGGAAGATCTCTCTGTGTCACTGCTTTTCAAATAAATAAAAAACCTTTAAAAAAACAACCACCTAGGATGCTAGGATTCCTTTCTCGGCCCCTCCTCTCCTGAAACAGGTGGCTCACCCTGGGGGGGTGCCCTCGCTGACCTCCGCCCTCCCTTCTCTCCTGTGAGCGTCCTCCCCTCCACCTGTGAGGAGGAGCCCACTGGGGAGGCCAAGAAGATACTGGGAAACACGGCCTTGCCACACACACCCCGCCCCCAGTACTACCACTGGACCCCACCCTGCTGCCCCCCATCACCTGCTGCGCCGCTGCCCACAAAACACACCCTGTCCCAGGCTCTCTGCGCCTCCAGCTCCGAAGGCCCCCACATCACCGTCAGGCTTACATGGAGTAGAGATACACGTGTGTCTCTTGCTAGCATGTTTGTGTGCAGGGGTCTCAGCCGAGAACCTGGCGCAGGTGAAACACGTCCCTTCCTCTCCATGCAGCCTGGGAGGGCTCCCTGGAGATCACCCACACTTCTGAGACGCTGGAGGGGAGGAGCCCCCGACTCGATGGAACCTCGGGCATGACGCCCACACGCACACCCCTGGCAGCTGCTCCCAGCAGTCCCTCTGTCTGTCGCCTGCAGGTTTTTCCTGCTCAGGGCCAGGTGCCAAGTGACACATGGGTTGGACTAAGGCGAGCACTTCTTCTGGAAGGTGGGAGAAGGGCAGTCTGGGAGGGGCAGGGGAAGGAAGGAGCCAACATTTTTGGGCAGCCCAACTTTAGGAACGCGTTCCCATCGAATCTGAAACAAACCCCCTAAAGCCTTCCTGCGCCTAGGTGTCCCGGGAACCCCCCCACCCCGCCACTCGCAGACTAATGAACGCAGGTGCATCTTAAGGCGTCTCAAGAGAAGCAGTTGTGTTTCTCATTTTGCTTATATAAATATCAAAGAGACTTCTCTAGGCTTTATTTTTTTTTTTTTGATAATTTATTGTTAAATGAAGAAGTCACAAAGCAAAACAGAGTGGGACAGATGTCAAAGGTAAATTTAAAATATACTTTTTGTCAAATACTATCCAGTATGTCCCAAGGCCAGAAACAGGCAAAGAAACGCTAAGGCACTCACTCAAATGATGTCTTCCGGAGGCCTGCCATTGGACAGGAAGACGACTCTTCTCCGGAAACACAACTCATTCCTATTCCATGCAAGCCATAAGTTAAGAGACGGAACAAAAAGCTTTTTAATTAACACATAAACTGCGTCTTCCAGATACACTTAGGAATGTTTGTTTTTTGTTAAGTTTCAAAAAAAAAACATCACTGCTTCCGCCTTGCACACAAACAGGAATCCACTCTCAACGGATGCCACAGGGCCCACACGGCGCGGCCACAGGGCCCACACGGCGCGGCCACAGGGCCCACACAGCAGCAGCAGCCACAGGGCCCACACGGCGTGGCCACAGGGCCTCAGCACGCACTTCCTGCCCTGCAGCTTGCAGCAAAGCAGGTTTGGGGGAAAAGAGGATTAGAAGGAGCCAGGTGGGCTCCCGCCCGCGTGACTTCACAGGAGCGCTCCGGACACGCACAGCTGCCACTCGCCACTCGCCGCCCCTCACTTTATAATAAGGGAATGATTCACCTGAACTTGACACAATCGCTCCAACACCAAAACTAGCATCTCACCCCAAGGCCAAGCTCACCACTCTCCTGTGCCGGGCACCGGCCCCGAGGCTGCCAGGGGCTCCGCCGGGGCAGAGCGAGGCCTCCGGGATCCTCCCGACACTACCTGGAAGTTGCCTTGCCTACTTAACTGACCACATCATGAAATCGATAGGAAAACCCATTCTTGTCCATCAGCGCTGTGTAATTCGCCCTCCCAATGCAGGGAGCACTTGCTGCTCTGAGGTGGTCCAGGGGTCCCCAGTGCCCGCCTCGGGGTCCCTGCTGAGCCTCGCCCTGGCGCACTCGCCACCCGGTGGGCTCTGTGCAAGGGGACGCAGCAGTCAACACCGCCATCCGCCCAGGACTCCAGGACAAGGCTCGCTCCAGGCCGCCAAAGACTTCCAAACGGGGCAGTTCCCATCCAACCTGCTGTCAGTGTTACCCAAGCGCCACTGTGGCTCCAGGCCACCCGGGAGAGCAGTCAGTTCCGCTGTAGGAAAAACGCAGGGCAGCCTCGGAACCGGGAGCCCGCGGGGCACGCAGCTTCCCAAGCCCCCTCCCCGTGTAGCCTGCGACATCACGGAGACGTATTCCAAGGAAACACGTACAGCCGTTCTTTCTGACAGCGGGGAGGAAAAGCCACCTGCTACTTGCTCTATTCAAATACGCAGGGATCTCCAGGACGTTGGAAGAAGCCGAGGCAGGGGCCAGGGGAGATGGGGCACTGCCCCCCCCCACCTCCCGGCCCGGGCACCCCTGCCTCTGCAGCGGGCAGAGCTGACTTCACAGCTTCTCTGGGGCGTCCTGGGGCACACCCGACTCCACCGCCATCACTTCCGCTACCCAGGGCCAGGAAGAAGCGGGCAGGTGTGGGAGTTGAACGCCGACTCCGACCCTGCCCTGAGTTCACCTCAGTTTTACCGGGCGCAGGGGCCGGTTCCTTTGCACTGGGACTGGACTGACATTGGCGTTGGCGGAATTCCTCGGCAACTGTGACACCGCTGACGTCGGAAGAGCAAGCCGCCACTCACTGAGGCGGACACTGACAGCCGCCGCCTCCGGGAGGCAGCCCGGCTTGGGCGCAGCCCCGGTTCCCTTCGTGGAGCCCCAGCAAAGTGTTTTTTCCGAGCATTCTTTAAAAATGCTGTCTTCTCTATGATGAGACCTCTGCTGTATTTTGCCTCATGGGAAAAAAAAAGGGGGGGGTGTCTGGGAACTGCAGAGCACTTACCAGGAGCGTGGCAGGAGCCCGCGGCTCAGCTCACGCCGGGCAGAACCAACCTGGCGGAAGGAAACCGAGCGGAAGCCACTGCTCCCCGCTCGGCCACCCGCGGGCCTGACTTTCCCCAGATGGCCCCAAGCAGGGCGAGCGTTTGTTTCTTTTTATTTTTCTTTCTTTCTTTCTTTCTTTTTTCTTTTCTTTTCTTTCTTTCTTTTTTTTTTTTTTTTTTTTTGAACTTTTTCTTGTTAAGGCATCTTATATCATGGTTTGGGTTTTGTCTTGGTTTTTTGATAACATGAAAAAGAATTAGAGAATTCCCAAAGTTTTGGTTAGCAGGAAATACAAATGGAAGTGAAATTAAAAAATGGCATGGAACGAGCCGCCCGCCCCACAAGCTGAACCCGCACAGGCGCGTGGGCACCGCGCTGGCACGCTCACGGGCAGAGACGTCTGCGAACCTGTTCCCAGGCCCCTCTTCAGCCCGGGGGAGGGGGCGCTCCCCTCCCCCTCCCGCCTCAAATGCTGGCATTTTCCTTTCCCTCAGTCGCCGTTATTTTTCTTATGAAACTGAGATCTGGGAGATGACCCAGGAAAGGCGCTGCTTCGAGAAGCCATCGGGAAACCGCGCCACAGCCCGAGCGCGGCAGCCGTGAGCGCCCGCAGCGGTTTCTTCCCTTCTCCCGCAGGCTGCGCGTGGAGGCACCGCACGGTCCGCGGCCCGCGAGTCAGCATTCATCCGAGAAGCAGTCGCTGCCCAGGAACTCCATGGCCTCGAGCTCCACGCTGGACAGAAACCGCCTCAGCTTCTTGCGGCAGTTGTAATCCAGGGTGGTGGTGTAGACGGTCTTGGGGTACTTGGGGTAGACGATGGTGGTGCTGAGGAAGCGCGCGGGCTTGTGGCGGGGCTCGAAGCGCACCTCCGCCTTGTAGCTGCGCCACGTGCAGTTGGGGACGCAGGTGACCGTCTGGCTGCAGGAGGCCACCGCCAGCCCCAGGGGCAGCTGCACGTCGTCGATGAAGTGCCGCTCCGAGTCGTACTTGACGGAGGACGTGTACCTGGGCAGGAGACACAAGGCAGCGTGAAGCCGCGCCCGGGGCTGGGGGACCCCTGACGCCCCAGGCAGGGTGCAAACGTTGAGCTGAGGCTGCTCCAGGGAGAAGCAGCCCAGGGTTTACGAAGCACAGGTGCAGTCGCCTGCGGGGACCTGACCTGGGATCCCCAAATCTGCAGACACCCAGGTCCCACGGTAGAGTCTGGGCAGCCCTCCCACCACTTTGTACCATCTCCAGGTAATGCGGAGCCCCTGATAGGACGCATGCGCAGTAAACGCTACGAAAGCCATGGTCACACGTCCTTGCCGAGGGAATAACGAATGGCAAGAGGAAGTCTGGGTTGCATCGGCAGTGTGCAGTCCGCAGAGGCAGGGCCGGCCAGGTGCCGTCCAGTGCAAGTGCCTGGCTTCCAGGAGCTCACTGAGCTCCCCAGCAGCCCCGGGAGAGGACGCCACAGGCCACAGTGGAGCCGGAACAAGCAGGGGCTGGGACTCCGCCAGCGCTCCGTGTCTCTCACTGGATTCTGCTCTGAGACCGTAGTCTAGCTTCTTTACTAAGGTTTCCCGGCCTTATTTCCTCTTTGAGCAAAGGGCACTCAGGAACAAACGGGCAGAGTCAACACAAAGCAAGGGTGCTGGGCCCACGCTCCTCAGAGGGACTTCAAGAAACCCACCAAGGGGTCGGCGGGTGGCACCGCGGCTTCAATCCAACTCCCAACTAACGCCCCTGGGAAAAAGCAGCAACAGATCCCCAAGCGCCTGGGCCCCTGCACCCACACCGGGAGACCAGGATGGAGTTGCCGGTGCATGGTTTTGACCTGGCCGAGACCCAGCTGCTGTCATTTGGAGAGTAATGCAGCAGATGAAAGTGCTCTCTCTCTCTCTCTCTCTCTTACTCTGCCTTTCAAATAAGTAAATCTTTTTTAAAAAGTTATGTATTAATTTTATTTGAGAGGCAGAACGCCTGTTGCATGAGTATATACATCTTTAATTTTTTAAGGATTTATTTATTTTTATTTGAAAGCGTTACAGAGAGCGGAGGGGAGAAGCAGACAGAGAGGTCTTCCATCTGCTGGTTCACTCCTCAAATGGCCAAATGGCTGCAATGGCCTGAGCTGGGCTGATTCGAAGCCGGGAGCCAGAGCTTCTTCCAGGTCTCCCACATGGGTGCAGGGGCCCAAGGACTTGGGCCATCTTCCACTATTTTCCCAGGCACTCCAGCAGGGAGCTGGATCAGAAGTGGAGCAGCTGGGACTGGAACCAATGCCCATATGGGATACCGGCATCACAGGCAGCACTGGCCCCAGTAAATAAATCTTCAACAACAACAACAAACAGAAGTTTACGGATGGGCAAGCACTTGGTACAGCAGTTAAGAAATCCCTTGGAACCCCCACACCTCATTATCAGGCTGCGGCTGCGTGGGTTTGAGTCCCGACTCTGTTTCAAATCCCTGCTTCCACTAAGGCAGACCCTGGGAGGCAGAAGATGAGGGCTCAGGTACTTGGGTCCCCACCACCCTATGTGGGAGACCTGGATAGAGTTCCTGGCTCCTGGTCTCAGTCCTGGCTCCTGTGGGCATCTGCGGAGTGAATTAGCGCATGGACAAGTTTTGTCTGCCTGCCTTTCAAATAAATAAAAATTAAAATGGTTTAAAGAAAGTTCGTGGGGAAATGGAATGAAAAGACAAGTTTTTTAAGAACCCCCCCCAAAAAAAACACCTCAAATCTGCCAGTGTTGTGGCGCAGTCAGTAAAGCTGCTGCCTATAGTACCAGCATCCCATATGGACACAGGTTCAAGTCCTGGCTGTTCCACTTCCAATCCAGTTCTTGCTAATGTGCCTGGGAAAGCAGTAGAAGATGGCCCAAGTTCTTGGGCCGCTGCACCCACTTGGGAGATCTGGAGGAAGCTCCTGGCTCCTGGCTTTGGCCTGACCAAGCCCTGGCCATTGTGGCCATCTGGGGAGTGAACCAGCGGATGGAAGATTGATCTTTCTCTCTCTCTCCCTCTCTCTCTGTAATTCTTAACTTTTAAATCAATCAATTTTTAAGAAAAACAGCTCATGTCAAAGCCTATTATGAAGAAACTATACGGATTTCAAAATCGCTTTCACAAAGTAATCTTTTAATTCCACTTTCCACAAACTTTTTGAAGTCCCTGAGTACAATGAGGTGGCCTCTATTGCTCTGTAGGGAGCCTCCTTAACGAGAGGATGAAGGAACACGAAAAATAAAATCGCGGATGCTGGGCCGGGTGGATCCTGGTTGCTCTGCTCCCCACTTCCTGCTGAGGCACCCAGGAAGCGGCAGGTGACGGCCCGGGTCCTTGTGCCCCTGCCACCCATGTGTTCCTGGCATCCACCTGGCTCAGCCTTGGCTGTTGCAGGTATTTGGAGAATGAACTGGTAAGTGGAAGATCTTTTTTTTAAAATTTATTTATTTATCTATTTATTTATCTGTTTGAAACACAGAGTTACAGAGGCAGAGGCAGACACAGAGACAGAGACAGAGAGAGATTGATTTTCCATCTGTTGGTTCACTCCCTAAATGGCAGCAATGGCCAGAGCTGTGCTGCTGTGAAGCCAGGAGCTTCTCCTGGTCTCCCATGGGGTGCAGGGCCCAAGAACTTGGGCCATCCTCCACTGCACTCCTGGGCCACAGCAGAGAGCTGGCCTGGAAGAGGAGCAACCGGGACTAGAACCCAGCGCTGCTACACTTCTGATCCAGCTCTCTGCTGTGTCCTGGGAGGGCAGTGGAGGATGGCCCAAGTGCTTGGGCCCCTGCACCCACATGGGAGACCAGGAGGAAGCACCTGGCTCCTGGCTTTGAATCGGCACAGTGCCAGCCGTGGTGGCCGTTTGGGGAGTGAACCAACGGGAGGAAGACCTTTGTCTCTGTCTCTCTCACTGTCTATAACTCTACCTGTCAAAAAAAAAAAAAAAAAAAAGGAGCAGCAGGGACTTGAACCAGCGCCCATAAGGAATGCCTAATGCTGCAGGCAGCAGCTTTACCCACTCAGGCGGTGGCTTTACCTGCTATGCCACAGCGCTGGCCCCTGGAAGATCTTTCTCTCTCTTTCACTTTGCCTTTCAGATAAACAAGTAAATCTTCAAAAAACTCAGGAATGCTGGTTGTGAAAGCTTCACTGGTTGGGAGTCTCCCCTGCATGACAGGCCACGAGCAGGGGCACTAGCGGATCAATGAGAGCCAAGGACAACCTGGATTTCCGGAAGAGACCATCTCTGCCCCCCTGTCACTTTATCAGCATTTTTTGAAGTCCTTCCTTGGTAGTATGGGAGCTCATGTGTTCATGGATGCAAAGCCTGAATGCACTCTGCCGCATATTATACAAATACAGGTGCGCACCCCAGACACGCAGCCGACAGCACTGCCGGCCGCCCGTGCCGGCGAGTCAGGCCCGGTGCAAAGGCACGCTCTCCGGGCGCTGGCTGCACAAGACACAAGCTGCCCGGGCGGAAGGGCTGAGCCGCTCACCTGCACGCCCACAAACCTCTCCGGACGCCTCAGAGGGCCCTTTGTGCTCCCACAGCCACACCAGCTTCCAGAAGCCAACCCCCCAGAGCCCTCGGTGCCCCTGTACTCCTGGCTGAGGTCCCATTTTCGGAGGGAAACGCAGGTGGGTGCCCCGACACAAATTTTTCAAAGCAGAGAGGGTTGAGCGCCTCCAGGGCTGCTAAGGGCTTCTGGCCCAGAAGAAATGAACAGTACTAGACTTCCAGATGTCAGAAGCCCTCGTGGCTGCAGCGCAGATACCATGTGACTTCCTTCTTCACTGGGAGGCAGGAAAACACAGCTAACAATGCCCCCCCCCCCCCCCCGCCAAGTATCAGCCTGCCTTTCCTTTCCCATGGACTGCGCCTCCAACAGCACGAAACTTCAAAAATGAAATAAAATCAGACCTGGAATATTTACCTCACTTCCTTCGGGGGTAAGGGGTCAAACTCCACTCCTTCGCCAAAGGACAGTGGGCACAGTCTTGGCGAGCAGCCGGCAGCCAGGGCACTGGGGACGGATGCTGGAGTCTTCCAGGACAAGGAGAAGGCAGTTAGAGCCGGCCCAGAGCCAGGGGATGCACCCCCACACACACACACACATTCCCGTGCCCCCCATCCCCATGCCAAGGTCACAGTCCTGAGCCTCCAGCTGTGGGGATCAAGGGCTGAGCCACACCTGGGAAGAGCACTGGACAGGGAGCCAGGAGGTCTGGGTTCAAATCCCCGTCCTTGCCCCCTGCACTGTCAGAGGACACTGAGCCATGTTCAGGCCAGGGGCAGCCCGCAAAGCAGACCTGACCCGCAGAGCCCCCAGCCACGCTCTCTCTGGGACACTCTGGAGAAGGCTCTGACAAAAATCACCACTGGGAGTTTTTCTCAGCTAAGGATTTGGTGCAACTTCCTGCGTTTCTGGGGCTGTGGGATCAGCACCCCTCCCACAGCAGGAAGCCGGCAAGCCCAAGTTCATGGGTGAGGTGAACCCCAGGATGTTCTCCACTTTGCCCTTGGTTCTCCAGCCTGTACAAGCATCACAGTGACAGTGCCAGCCCCGATGTGATGGCCGGTCCCACCCGGCTACTGGGGTCAGAGCTTCTGCATTAAGTGCAAAGTCAGCAGCCCCTGCGCGCCCTCCTTGCGTAAGCACCTGTCATTCTCTGCTCTGAGAAGGAAAAACACCTGGGCCCAGGTGTGGTGGTGGCAGCCCCTCCCCTACACCTTCCAGGCAGCCTGAGAGACCCCCTGCATGACAGGCCACGAGCAGGGGCAAACAGGGGCACAGGGGGCAATGTAAAAGCCCACAGAGACTTGGACAGGATGGGGCAGAGGGTCCTGAGCACTCGGCTTCCGGGTCTGGGTGGGGAGTGTCCTAAGTCCAGGCAGAGGTCACGGGCGAGGCGAGAATCAGCTTCTGGAAACAGCCTCTGACTGGGACAGTTGGGCCCTGCTCTGGCCGCAGCCCCACACCCGGACAGCAGGGGGCACCTCCCAGGCAGCTCCCCGACACACACCCCACATCCTTCTCCCAGGTATCCACACCAGCACCGGTTCTCTGCCCTTCTCTCCCCTTCCTGCCCATCAACAGACGCTCCCCGTGCACCCACCCTGCCCCAGGTGCACCTCGGGGAGGGGGTGGGGCAGCCGAGGTTATAACCCCCCCCCCCAAGCACAAAGCGCCCCTGGCACGGCTCTGGGGAATATCGGGGAAGGTTTCCCAGAGGAGGTGACCCGGGCTGGGCACTGAAGGGCCAGCAAGACCTTGCTGGAAGAGGTAATAGACCTTGTGAATGTCAGGGGGGAGGGGAGGGGAGAGGAGGGGAGGGGAGCAGGCCAGCCTGCTGCAAGGCTGCAAACCCCGGAGGCTCCCCTGGAGGCAGGGGCAGTGCAGGTCCTTAAGGGGCCACCACGACTTCAGCCCCGGGGCAGAGGGCAGTAAACTGTGGTGGAGATTTTTTCTTTGAGTAAAAAAAAAAGTAAAGTAAAGTAAAAGGCTTAATACTGAAAAGGCCTCAGCCACCTGCGACACACGGGACACTCGGGCGCTCTCGGGACAGGGGCCGCCGCCAGGAAGCCAAGGCTAGGGAGTGACCGAAAGCAGGGCGCGCTTGCTCTCAGAATCGGGGAGCCCGGGGCACAGCGGAGTGGGCTCACGGGCCTGGGAAGGCAGGCTGGGGTCCCGCGCCAGGTCCCGGGGGCCCCGCCCGCCCGCCCGACCCGGGAGCGAACGTGGCTGAGCCGCAGCCTGGCGGCCACCGGGGGCGGCCACCCGAGGGAGGGGACAGCGGCGCGCCTCTCCCGGCCCCCGCGCGCCTCCCAGGCGACGACAACTTTCCAGCCTCCGACTCCAGCTGGCCAGTATCGCGCTGCTCCCGCCCGGGCTCCCGGCGACAGCCACGCCGACGGCGCGTCCCAGGCAGGGCGACACGGCCTGCCGGGGTGGGGTGGGGGGACGGGCGCGCTGGGGAGGGAAGGAGTCAGATCTGGGCCACTCACCGGGGCCGCGGGGGTCGCCGCCGCGTCGGGCTCCAGCGCCCCCGGAGCCGGCGCGCGCTCCCCGCCGCCGCCGCCCGCGCCGCCGCCCGCAGACGCCGCGAGCCCCCAGTGGCTGGGGCTGGGGCTGGGGGGCAGCCCCGAGTCCGGGCTGTCCAGGACGCCGTCGCCCTTCTTCTTGGCGTCCACGAGCTCGGGCACATCCTGCAGGCTCAGCCGGCCCACCATGGCTGGGCGCGGGGTCGCGGGCGAGCGAGGGCCGCGAGGGGCGCAGACGCGGGCCGGGGCCGCTGCCCGCCCGGCCGCCCTCCCTGCCCGGCCGCCCGCGCGCGCCGTCCGGGTCTCGCCGGCGGCCGCGCTCCGGGGCCCGCCCTCCGCCCCGCCCCGGCCCGCCGCGCCCGGGCCGGCCCAGCCCTCACAGGCCCCGCCGCGAGGACCGGCGCCAGGGGCCGCTGCGCTCCCGCCGTGCGCCGCCCGCGCCGAGCTCCGCCGGGCCGCCGAGCCCGCCCCCGGCTGCTGCCCACCGGCGCTGCAGGGGGCGCCGGGCGGGCGGGAGAGGCACCCCCAGCGCCGTCGACCCCCACCAGGCTACAGGTGGGCGCGGGTACCTTCCCCCACCCACTCGCCCACCCCCGCGCCAAAGCCCTGTGCCCGCGGGCTGGGAGGCGCTCGCCCCGGGCTCTCCAGAACTGGCGGTCGGGGGCAGCCGGCGGAGAGCCGGCCACAGCGAGCTCACAACTGGAAATTATTAATAGTTAATGTGCGTCGGATGGCTCCGGCCACTGCCGACGCTCACGGCGGCCCGGAGGAAAGAGGGCCCACCGCGGGGCTCCCGGGGGCCCTGGTTTCGGTGGGGGCCCACTCGGCAGGGGAGACGGTGACGTGGATGAGCTCAGCCGGCTGCCCGGGCGCCGCCTCGGGGGCCAGGGCCCCGCAGTGGGGGGAGGCAGCTTCCCCGCCGCCGCCACGGGAGCTGTGGGCTGCGCGCCCCCGGGGAACCCCGCACTGAGCAGACCCAGACGTCTGCCCTGGCCTCTGGCTTCGCAGAGAAGCCCCGTTGCGGGCAGGACCTGGTTTCAGGGGGTCTGGACTGACCCCAGAGCCAGCACCTTTCCCGGGATCCGCCTGACCCGCATGCACAGGGGGCACCCCTCAGCCCTAGGGGTTCTGGTGGAGTTCAACCAAGAGCCTGGAGATTGGGGCCTACGGTGTGGCGTAGCAGGTAAAGCTGCCGCCTGCAGTGCTGGCATCCTATGAGAGTCCCAGTGGCTCCACTTCTGAGCCAGCTTTTTGCAATGGTGTGGGCCCCTGTACCCACGTGGGGGACCCGGAAGAAGCTCCTGGCTCCGGGCTTCGGATCAGCCCAGCTCCAGCAGTGGCAGCTATTTGGGGGAGTGAACCACCAGATGGATGATCTTTCTGTTTCTCCCTTTCTGTCTGTAACTGTCTCCATTTTGACCTGTGTCACCTGGGAGACCATTGGTTTCCCTGCACAGACGGGGGTCTGCTGAGCCCAGTGGACAGCAGATGTCACAGGCAGCTGGCAAGGAGGCAGATGATCAGCCCCTGGGCGAGGTCCACCCTGGAGGCCCCCTGCCTGGGAGCCAGGGGCTGATTCTTCCAACCCTCCCCAAATGCACAAAAAAGAGCCTTCCCGAGTCCCCAGAAAATAAAGGCCGGAAGGGATTTTTGCAAGGAGGCCTCACATCAGCAACTTGCGCTCCTGGCTCCACTCAGAGAGTCAGGTGGACCAGGACTTGCGGGCCGGGAAGAGCCCTCGCTGTGGTCAACCCTAGGGAACCAGCTGCTCTGAGCTGCCACCCCTGAGGGGCGGCCTCTAGGATCCCACAGTGCACAGCCTGTGGCGGCTGCCTGGGAAGGAAGGAGGGTGGGAGCCCTTGGGGCAGCCACTGTGCTCCACGTGGTGACCTTGGGCTGAGTGTGTCCTTCCCTCAGCCCCAGGCCTCCAGGGCACTCCTCTTGCAGCCCTAATTCAAAGCAGAACGTGCAGTGCATGCAGGCTGGGGGCGGCTGTGGTTTGCAGCTTCCTACTGCTGGGAACTCCTCGTGCTCGCTGGAGACATAAAAGGCGTTGTTTTGCAGTCTTGGGTCTTTACTGCAAGTGAGCTGGGGTTTGGGGAGAACTGAGGATGAGAGGGGAAGGCTCACCCACCACTTGCCAAGCTCCCACCTGGAACCTGGCTGCTGCTGGCCCCGCGCGATTGCAAGACCCCCAACCCCAGATGGAGAGTTCCAGAGATCTGAGAAGGCGTCTGTCTTGTGCCCTGTGCACAGGAACAAATCTGCTCACACAGAGGCCTCTGACCCATTTGCTTTGCTTTTTTCCAATCCCACTGTCCCAGCCTCAATAAGGCCCAGCTGTGCAATGCTCTCCCGGCCCCCCGGCCCCCGCTAGGGCCTCTCACTGGTCACCAGCCGGTGGTCCAGCGGCTTCACCGGCCACCCGGGATGGGTGCCATGTCTGCCAAAGCTCCAGACACGGCTGCGGGTGTTGCGGCTGGTGGGAGGGCCCGGGCCCCTCCTGCTGGTTTCCTGGATGCCTGCCCTGCTCCAGGAGTCAGACTTGAACCCTGCAGGGCAAGACCAATAATCAGATCTTCATAACACTAATACGACCTTGCAATTCCAAACCCCTCTTCCTCTCCTGCTCCAGATCTACCCTCCTGGCTCCTTTTCTTAAGGTTTCTGCTCAAGGCTCCTGGGTCCTACAGGCCAAGAGGCTGTCTGAACTTGGGGACAGCAGGACAGTCCCCCTCAGCCCCAGCTGGGACCCCTGCTGCCCGCCCTGCTCGCTCGCCCCTCTATGCACCTTTCTTTTTCTTTTTCTTTCTTTCTTTTTTTTTTTTTGACAGGCAGAGTGGACAGTGAGAGAGAGAGACAAAAAGAAAGGTCTTCCTTACGTTGGTTCACCCTCAATGGCCACTGCGGCCAGCGTGCTGCGGTCAGCACATAGTGCTGATCTGAAGGCAGGAGCCAGGTGCTTCTCCTGGTCTCCCATGGGGTGCAGGGCCCAAGCACTTGGGCCATCCTCCACTGCACTCCCTGGCCACAGCAGAGAGCTGGCCTGGAAGAGGGGCAACCGGGACAGAATCCGGTGCCCCAACCGGGACTAGAACCCGGTGTGCCGGTGCCGCAAGGGGGAGGATTAGCCTAGTGAGCCGCGGCGCCGGCTGCACCTGCTTTCAAAGATGCTGCTGCTTCCCAGGTTGTCAGCTAAGGGACATCCTCAGCATTGAGGATGCTCATGCCTGGCGGGCTTCTGGGGCCAGATCTGTCAGGGAGAGCATCTGAGAAGGGGCCTTTTGCTGTGAGCAGGCTGTTAGAAGTTTCTAGAAAATCAGGCCTTCTCAGCAGGACAGGTGATAAGCGAGACATCAACATATGCTAGCCACCTGCCCCTTTGTGCCCTGGCACAACAGTGGCCGTGTGACGTGAGCTTGGCCTTGGCTGCTCATCACACTGGCTCTAAGGAGTCGAGGAGCAAACGTTGCAGTACAGCAAGTTAGTCGCACCCTGAGATGCCCGCATCCCATATCAGAGCACCAGTTCAAGTCCCAGCTGCTCCACTTCCAGTCCACCTCCCTGCTGAGGAATTAGGCTCTGTGTTCCTTATTGAAATACCGTTGGTCAACAGCTGTCCTGGCCCTAGCCGTCAGAGTCCACTGTGCGTCTTCAGCCCAGGCCCACAGCTCTTTCGAGAATTTGCTCTGGGGCAGGGTCTGCGTGCTCGCGTCTGCGCTGCTCTTCTGCGAGGCTTGCTCACTCACTGCCCGATGCCAGGTCTGGAGACTTCAGGCAGGGTGCAGAGGCAAACAGCAGGGCAGGGTGTGTGGGAGACTCTCGGAGGCCTGGAGCCCGGCTGTCTCAGAGTCCCTGGTGCAGAGGGGACAGCGCAGCAAGGGTGGAGCTCTGCCGGCCCCTCTGCTTGTCGCTGAGGGGACCCGAGGCGTCCTTCCCTCCAAATCCCACCTGCTTCATGGCCAAGGAACGGCTCAGACTGCCTAAACGATGGGGACACGGAGCACGGTGGGATCCACCACGACTCACGCTCCCCTCGCACTCCCGGCAGAACTCAGGCTTAGTCTCCTCCAGTGGAGAGCATCGCAGGTCCCAGCATTCAACCCCTCCTGCAGCCAATCAGCTCTCTCCTGCCAGGCCCCCTGCACAGGTGCTGCACAGGTGCCCAGGGCAGGCAGGAGCTGGAGTGGCTCGGTGGCGTCTTACCTTCTATGACTCTGGGTGATTACTGCTCCTGTCCCTTCCTTTCCTCTGGTGGTCTCGGGGGCGGGGGGGGACTTATATAACCTCGTGGCAGTGAGGATGGGGTGGCTGGTGGGGAGCACCCATGCCTGGGCCGTCCCTCCACCTCTCTGGCCTTGACTGAGGTATTATGTGTTGTGCTTGACCGCCGAGTCCCTCCCTTTGCTTTTGATGTCCATTTACTGCACCTGCGCTGCCTCCAAGCTGTCCCAACCCAAGGTCTCCTCCAGTGCGCAGCCCTTTTACCCCTTCTCGGGAAGTGGGCGCTCTGGAAGCTCGGGCACTCTGAGCAGCTGCACCTGCACACGAGAAGCTGCGAGGGACTCTGCCGTGGTCTGTCTTAGGCCCACCTGGCTGGGCCACTCCTCCTCTCTCTGGGCCAGGCTGCACACAAGATGGCTCCGTGGAGACTGCAGCTCCCAGGTTCACTGGTGGAAGCCAGACTACGGCCTTGAGATCGGCACTGCCTTCAAAGGGACGGGGCCCATCACACAGCAGGGATCAGCCAGAGGGGTGGGCTTCTCAGGGACCTGGCAGCCCCCAAACCAAGTCAAAGCCGCTCTGGCATTTCCTTTTCCACGTGCTGGTCGGAATTCACTTTTGGCCTGTGTGTGGTGGGGGACAGTGAACGCTTGTGTCAGGGTGCACCGCCCCTGGAATGACCATGGGCATTGTATGTGAAGTCCTCTGGGGCCTTGGTATTTAAATTTTTAAAGCATACTTTTAGAATAAGAGAAAATCAGGAGCTGGTGTTGTGGCCCAATGGGTTAAGTAACCTGGCTGCTGCGGGCATTTGGGGAGTGAACCAGTAGATGGAAGCTCGCTCGCGCATACTCCCCCCCCCCTCTTTCAAATAGATACAATCTTAAAAGAAAGAAAGAAACAGAACCAAAATGTTACACATTCCACTGTTCTTGCATTATTGAAATACCGTTGGTCAGTAGCTGTCCTGGCCCTAGCCGTCAGAGTCCACCGCCTGCCTGCAGCCCAGGCCAGGCCTGGCTTCCAGGGCTCATATCTCTCCTGCAGAATGACAGAAGTCCATACAAGGCTTCAAAGCC